CTCAGACCCTGTGCTCTTCAGGGACCCCAGATAATGCTTTTTCTCCTTTTTTCCCCCTCCAATCAAAAGATGCCAGAGCCCTGCTGAAGCTTTTGAACTTTGGGATCGACTGGGGTTTTTTAACTGTTTATCTACAAATGAAGGACCAGCCTTTCATTTTGTAACAAGCAGCAGCGCTGCTCATCAGGAAGGGGAGCGGGGCTGAGGGAACTGCGCAGATTTTGGCAGCTCAACTGCCACAGGACTGTCAACCTGAAAAGATGATGCAGAGAGAGATGGGGATGTTTGGAAGGTGGGGAGCCTGCCCGGCTGCCTGAACAGCTGCACAGTGGCAGAGCGGGAGAGGGGAGCTGTGGTTTGGAAGGAGGGAAGGACTGCAACACCTCGAGGATGGGGATGGTGTGACAGCCCAAGGCACGGGGTGATGGTGCTGACAGCCCAGCCCCTGCAGGAGCAGGGTCCCCACAACCCCAGAGAGCCGCAGGCTTTACCTTTGAGTCCGGCTGCTCCTCAAAGCTGAGCTTCTGGGTCTCCATCAGGCTACTGCCCATGCTGTCCAGCCCCATGTACCCACACACCCGAAATCCAGCCTCTCCCATGTCCCTGGCTGGAAGAGACAAGGAGAAGCACTCTCCAGTCCTCCCCACACAGACTCAGCTCTTCCTGTCAGGGAAGGTGGCCCAGGCTCCAGCCCTCCCTGGGTCTGGATTGCAGGAGGCTCAGCCTTGAGGGGGAACAGGGATTTTGGGAGGGGCAAAGATAACATAAAGTGGATCACTCTTCCCTTTGCAGAGGCAGAGGGCAGCTCTCCACGGCATGGGAAGACAGAGGGAGGAGGGTCCAGGGCTCCTGCCTGGCACTTACCTTTTATCTGCTCCTGTTTTAACTTCCATCCTGGCCCGCTCAGGTAAACACAAGGTGGGGGGCAGAAAAACCTGCAGAGACAAGAAGGCATTTTCTCACTGCCCTTCAACCCCCCGAAAAGGTGCTCAGGGGCGGTGGGATGGCTGTACTGAGAGTGGAGACCTTCACCCGGGCTCACTGGCACTGGGACCAACCCTCTGCCCCCACAGGTACGTAGTGCTCAGCGAGGGCTCTCTCCTGGCTGGAAGACTCAGTCCCGAAATAACATCTTTACCTGCGGAGCAGCAGCCCCTGGCAGGAGACTGGATGTGGTGAGGACTTTGTAGGCACAGCCAGCCCGTCCTGGAGCTGTCTCCTGGGGTGGTTGGGGTCTGGGTGGTTATGCCTTAGAGGCTGAGCTTGTCGCCTCGTAGCTATCCCACACTCGATAATAACGGAGGAGTATTTATATCACAAGGATTAATGGAGGATTAATTATATTGCAGTGCTGCAGTCTGATGTCACCGGCCAGGAGTAGGAATTTTGGAGATTCAAACCAGAACCTCAAGGTGTTTTTGCAGTGTGGGAAGGATTGTCAAAAATAGCAGCTTTTTTGGAGAGCATGGGCATGGATGGAAACGCCCCAGTCCCTGCTGAGTTTGAGAAGAGGATTAACAGGGCACTTGAAACATTAACCTTTCATTCTTGGGGGTAAGATTTGAATAGTATCTTTACTTATTTTACTTTGTCTTTCCTTACCACTTCATGGAAGGAGCCTAACCACTGGGAATGTCTAACTGGGATGGAGGCAGGTGGGGGCTAATGTCTTCCTTGTGTTATTCAGCTCAGGAAGCCTAAACAATGGCTTTGGATCGTGAGGTCACGAGTGAATGGAGAGGGGATATGTCAAGTCATTTGCTCCCCCAGCTTAGACCAGGGAAATCCAGCAAGGCTGAAGCTGAGCTTTAGGCAGCTGGGTTTGGAAGTGATCACTGGGGAAGCTGGCACAGTCCCCCACCTTTTCTCGTTGCCGTAGGACTTTTGTGCGACCTTGGCGTGCAGGATGAGCACGGTCTGGTCCGCTGGCAGCTGCAGGTACCTCCTCACGCCGTCCCGCAGCAGAGTGGCTTGGTAAGGGTTGGACCTACAAGACAGTAGTGCCCCAGCTCTGTGACACCAGAGCTGGCTCCTCACCCAGCCCTGCAGCCCTGCAACGAGCAGGGAACCCGGAGATCCCTCCGTGTCCAGCCTGAGGAGGGAAAGGCTTTCCCATCAGAAAGCTTTGGAGTTCAGCTGCTCCAGGACTGGGGCTGCCACGTGAGCTGCTCGTTGGCTTCTGCAAGGGCTGTTGGGTGCAAAGAGCTGCATTTTTCTCTGATACATAAGAAGTCGGTGGTTTTGCTGATTGTTTCTGCTCTATTAACTCGAAGGCGTTCCTGTGCACCCAGCATTTAACTCTGCTGACTTAGTGGGGTGGGTGTTGCCCGGCTGCACAGATGAGGTGAGGCCAAGCACAAGGTGCCCTGCTCTGACAGCTGGGACGTGTGTGCAAGGAGGGAGGGAGAGCTCTGGGGTGTCAACTGGGGAGACCTTCTGTGCTGCTGACTTGCCTTCAGAGAGGTGAGACCGCTCAGGTGAGCAACGCCAGCTCCTGCCCTACTGAAGGCCTAAACCCCCTGAGTCTGGGATAAGAGCAATCTCTGAACCTGGGATAAAATATTTGGCTGGATAAGAGGAAACCAGAGGAGAGGGAAGGGGAACTGCCTGTCCTTGCCACATTTGCCAGTGTTTGGGATGTGGCCTCTGGGCACACTGATCCAACCAAGGGGACCCAGCCTGGCTGGTTATGAGAACTTCTTGAATCTCATATTGGAGATGGAGATAAAGCTCCAAGGCAGGCTGTGGTGAGCTCTCCTGGGCTCAGAGGTCAGAGCAAGCTCCCAGGGAGAGAAGCAGCAAGCAGTCAACCCAAGCAGCCTTTTAGAAGAGTTCACCTGCCAAGTCTGTCCTTCCCAGTGCAACACATGTATTTTAAAAAGGCTGTGCCCCTTACAGCTTTTAGCACCCATTGTACAACTCACTTGAAACACATCTCACTTCAGCTCCAGCTTTACACCTTTGGATGGAGCTGATAACTACTGTTGTATGTGGCAGACAAACATATCTCCCATACAGGCAAATATTTACCCTGTGTCTTCTCTGGGTAGTCCCACAGGGACCTGACACTTTGCACTCCACAGATGTGCTCTGCTCTGTTACCAGACAGGCAAGATAATCTCCTGCCCTCCTTGTTCTCAGTTCTTTATCCCAGACGTGTGAGCTGGATCACCAGCAAACATAAATCAACAGAGCTCTGCCAAAATCAGATTTACAGCCATTGCCTGTGTCACTCACAGCATTAGCTGCTGCTCTGTGCCTGGAAAATGAATGTTTTATGGCCACTCCTGACTGCAGAACAGGTTCCACACACAGCTCTGCTCGTGTGGCAGCCCCGGGACGGGGCTCTGGGTCAGCCCCAGCTCACCCCACTCGTGGCAGGGCAGGAGGGGCTCCTTTCCCAAGGCTGTGTCTGTTCCCTCCAGCCCTCCATTCTGACAGACTCCTGCTCCTGCACACTGAAGCTCAGCTCTACCCACCAGTGTCCCACCAGTGCCTGCTCCAGGGTGGCTTTACTCAGTCTTGCTGAAAAGCTTCGCTCCAGCTTTTCCACCCAATGAACATTTTATATCTTTGCACAGCCAAAGAGATCCTGTAAGAAAGTTATTCAGTCTTTTTCCATAATGGCAATCTGCAGCTGTCTCGCTCCTCTGCTGCCAAGCAATGCTGTGATTTCAGCTTTGATCTGCCTTTGCTATTTTTCCCTTCATATAAAAGCACCCTTCGGGAATCTCTGGGCAAAAGTTTGAGTTTGTTTTGGGTTTGTTTGCTTGTTTGTTTTTTTACAGAACTACGGATTCTGATCGGGATAAATGTAGAAATGGATCAAGGAAATTGGCCTGACCCTGGATATTCTTTCACACCGATGCAACACAGTGTTAAATGAGTGCTGAACCTTGCTGGCTTCGTTCAGTAGCATTTCACCCTCAGTTTGTCAGAGACAACAGGCACAGAGCACGGAAGAACCAGGCTGGGTGTGTGAATTTTTTCCTGGTGAGTCTCATCAGCCAGTATTCTGTGTAAAATTAGGAGGATAGCTTTGGGTCCTTGTGTATCAGCTGCAGAGGCAGGTGCTTCATCCCTGTTACTGTCACCCTCCAGCACCAACACGCTCTCCAGTGCCCATCCATAGCTTGGGGTCTCCCTGTGGGGGTCCTGGAGGGAGCTTCTGCCATTAACCCTTCCACAGAGTGAGGAACAGCCTGGTACCGAGGCCAGGCAGCAGCAGGGAGTGTTCAGGAGCAAATTGCCAAACCCTGTGGATTAAGACGTGTGCTGACAGAGTGGGCAGCAGCAATGCCTGCTCTGCAGAGCCTCCCCCAGCACTGGCTTAGGGCAGGGCCAGGCTTGTGCAGGTATCGCTGCTCCCTGCCATCCGCACGTAATTCCAGAGGCACGTGGCTTACTGCCCTGAGCCTACCGAGGAGCCTTCTGGAACAATTATCCACGTGCTATTTACTGCCTGAAGTGGGAAAGCGTATGCCAAAGGCAGGTAAACAAACTCTAGTTCATCAGACTTGATGTCTAGCTGCAGGAACAACTACCTAGAAACTTGGTTTGCTTTTCTTTGTCCGTTCTCTGCAGCCATTGCCTTGCAAATTTGGGGGCTAAATTGTTTCAGTGATGCATTTCTGAACAGTGCTCACCATTCTGCCCACAGAGGCGACCACCCAGCATCCATCATCTGGATTAAATTTACCTTCAGAGAGTAAAAGGGCTATTGCTAAAGCAGCTCAATACACCCACTTGGCTCCCTCTGGCACCTAGAGCCTCCTCAGGGTTACAGGGAATTATTCACTCCTTCTGACATTTATTATATTAAATTATTAAAATGCTTTGGTTGTAGTGCAGTGTTAGTTCAGCGTCATGTTTGCAGCTCTGCACGGGCCGGGCTCTCACAGCTCTGGCTAAAAGCTGCCTTTTCAGAGCCTGAGCTCTTGGCTGGGGCTCAGCTGCTCTCCACACAGTTGGGCATTATGTGGAAGGAGGTGGGGAGGGGGGGGAGAAAGGGGGAGCCACCACCTTTCTGCTACACCGATTTTTGTAAGCCTTTCCCCCTCCCCGCTCAGCCTGGCATCACTTCCCAAGGCTTTTCCTTTGCTTCAGGCCAGGATGTGCCCCAGGAGAGGGTGTGAGCCCATTTGCGGTGCATCTCTAGGGTGGCTCTGCCCCGGTGCTTGAGGTGGGAGAGACCCAGGGCACCTGGGGGGATTTGCAAGCCCTGGCCATGTTGCTGTGCCCCCTTCCCGCTGGAAACACAGCAGAAAAGCAGGAGTGCCCTGTGTGCTTTTTATGGGAGACACCCAGCTGGACCACCTTGCAAAGGGCCGTTTCATGTGGGCACGAGCGGAGCCCGGGCAGGCGCTGAGAGGCTTCGGTGGGGCTGGGCCCTGCACTCACATCACTGATTTAAGGAGTGCTGATGTTTAACAACACAGCCGAAAATTAGCCCTCGCCTTCCCAGCAGCAAGTGGGGAGACATCACTCAGGGCTTTGTCCTGCCTCCGGCTGGGGAACACAGCTCCCTGTGCGGGACATCTCCTGATCCTCGCATCACCTTCTGTGTGTGCACCCCTGAGCAACCACAGGAGCAGAAAAAGCAGTTTAGGAGCACTGGGAGAAGCAAACTGCCCAACGCCCTGCTGCTTTCCAGTTCGCTGAGCTTCACCAGCTCAGTCTGCAGAGGAAGGGATCCGATATTTTTGGTCCCCTGGGAATTAAAATACCCGACTCAGGAGACCAAAATACAATCCCGGCGGCTATTGTTTAGAAACTGGGTCTTCAAATCAACTCTTTATACAAGAACTGTAACTCACAGTACCAGTGTCCTCAAGTGCAGGTAGCACTGAATTGAAGTGCAGAGATTTAATTTGCTGCTTTCCCCCCCCCCAAAAAAAAGGAGCTGCCGTTTGCCTCGCTCAGGACACGGCTGCCCTGCAGCTTGCTGGGGACTTGCTGCCACAGAGGGCAATTGTTCTCCCCTCAGCTTGGGGAAACCAAATGTCCTAATAAAAAATATCCATTTTCGAGGTCTGGGTTATATTTTGTACGGAGCAGGGGAGAAAACGCCTGCAGTGCTCTCGGGTATGGAGTCAATGCAGTGTTTATGCAAAAGGAAAAGCCATTAGAAATCACAGAAATGAGAAGCCTGCAGTTTCTGGCTTCCCTCATTTTTCAATACCTCCTTTAATCCAGAGCAACCCAACCCACAGCCCTTGTATATGCATGGGTATTTATAAATCCTATATTTTCCTCGCTGCACACACAAGTGAAATTCAGCCTTTTCTGGGCCTGGGGGATTTGCCGACCACACCAAGGGCAAACAGCAGCCAGAACAGGAAGCGCAGAGCTCCTGTGGCAGCGAGCGCTGCGGGGAGCGGGGGCCAGCCAGGGTGGTCACCCCAGCACCACCAACACCCCCAAAATGCCTAATGCAGTATTGGCTCATCTGCTAGAAAATGCAGGGAGCAGGGGTGATCTGCTGCAGTGTCCTGTCTCTGTTCCTCCTGTTGGTGCAAAGAGGAAGGGAAGTGCTGTTAAAGCACTGAAAGAGTCCCATAAAGCACTAAAGGTGGTTCCTGCCACCACAAGACTGATCTAAGTGCTGGGAAGAGGTGGAGGGCTGGGAAGGGCTATTCCATTGTTTCTAAGAAGCCTCTGTTGATGATCTCCATCGCACATTAGGTGACCTTCTTGATGAAAGCTTGGCCCGAGGATCTGCAGCTCCCTGGTTCAAAAATACCACCCCACACTGCAGCCTCTACCTGCAGAGACTCCTAAACTTCCAGGACACTGCAGGTCAAATGGATATTAAGCCTGGACTCTCCTGTTTCCAGGAGCTTTTGAGTTTATGGGCCTCCCAGGTGTACTCACACAGCAGGGAAAGAGGAAATTAAAAA